AAAAAAAACCATGCTGTTCAGAGGGCTGGTTTCAGAGGACAGGACTTGCCTCTCCAGCTCACCTTACTCAGGACCCGCGAGATCTTTTATAATGAAACTGCTTTTTATTGTGGAGGGTCAGAATTCCTGTGTGACTGTGTCTGAACCTCATCAGCTGTGGTGCAGTGACGTCTGCCTTCATGTTTCACCTGTGGACCCGCATGGTGGTTGAGCGTTTCTTTTCAGGCCTCATTATAATGTAAAAATGATTTTCCTCTTAACATGATTTAGGAAGATTTTATTTTTTGGATGTTGTCAGAAATTACAGCAATATATTCATAAATACCTAATTACTACATTCAACAAATAATAATACAATACAATTAATTCAAACAAGTACACTTAGAACAGGTTTAATTTCACAGCATCTAAACTGCCCCCAGAGTGACCGAGGCACCGGTGTTCCTCCCTCCACCCGTGAATGGGTTACTCGTCTAGCAATGAAGCACACGGCACACACACAGTAACACAACCGATTAGCATGGTCTTCCTCAGGTCAAGGCAGAGTTAAGGAGTTTTCTTAAGTTAAGCACTGGATCAAAAAGTCGGGGACAGGCGACTGCTAGTAGTAAGAAAGTCAACAGCTGGGTTACTGGAGAGTATAGAGAGTGCTGCTAAGTGGCTAAGACACTGGAAAGAGTAACACACAGGCTGTGCTGGCCAGCTCCACCTTGTGGCGATCCCTGGAATTTCCTACACTTTAATTAAATGTGCAGCTCAGAGGGAAAAGGGTTTACAATTCAGCTTTATTTCTGAGATTTGGCAGTATTCTGAGCTACTTCAGGAAAATACCGTTTTGCTACAGGCTTAGGATGTCTTGTGTTGTAATTCTGTGCTACTGAAGGTGTGGGCTCCTTTTACATGCAATGCTCTGAATGTCCTTTCGGTACAGTCAGTCGGGTGTTTGGATTCCTGTAAAAGCAGAGCATAGACTGACTGAAATGTTAAATCCTACCTTGGTCACAGTGTTAGGAGACGTATTTGGAGCATGATATTTTATCACACCGCTTTGGCTCTGCTCGTATGAGACAAAGAAAGACTTGTTTCAAAGATATGATTAAACGTGGAAGCAGATTTAGTGTTGGGGGCATCCCTGAACGTGTGGTGAATTCCTCTGCAGAGGACAGATGGCAGCTGTCCCTCCCAGGTAGCACAGGAAGACTCCTAGTTGAGAGGACGGAGGGCTTCACACAAACCCTGACACACGGCTGCCAGAGCGCATCTGACGTACCCCTCAACTTGCTTTCAAACGCAGGGGGAAAAGCTGAGCAGAACGCTCAGACGGCACGTATCTAATGTTTGTGAAGCCCAAAAACAGATTTAGATGCTACAGTGTCTTTTCATAATTATAGGAAAATAAGTGTCCTCAGATGTTATAAAACTAAGTGTTGGATGGGAAACCATTGCTGGGAACTATGCCTCGGTGCACTTTTTTCCTTTTTCTTGTTCATACTGCCTTACTAGTTTCTGTAAGCGCTTGTATTCTGATTGTCATTATTTCTTGGACGTGTGAATATTCAGAGATCTCCACAGGCAGAGTGGTCGAGAAGCTCAAGGGCAGGGTACAGGTGTGGTTTCCACCCAGAAGGGGAGAAAGTTATTGCTGGCTCAGTGACAAGCCCCCACTCTGGGCCACCCTCTCTGTAGTGACAAGTTGTTTGTCCCACGTGCCATGAACTCACCCCATACCAAAAACTGAACCAAGGGCAAGTCCCTTGGATGGAAAGGGACAGGCTGTGCTTTTCTTTTCCATTGTTATTGGATCTACTTTTTCCTACTTAGTGAAGGCCATGACCAAAGCTCATTAGCAAAAGCGTCCAGACCTCTTCTGTGATGTGGGAGGTGGCCTGGGAGTGACCTACTAAGATGTGACTCTCAAGCTTTTAGACTAGAAACTGCAAGCAGGTTTTACATAGGAAGTCAGTGAGATTGTGCCGGATGGTTGGCTGCATAGCTCCCTTGGACACCTGTGGAACATGCCCTCTGTGCCTCTCGGGGGAGGACAGGGCTGCAGCACAGGCTGCTGAGCGCTCCTCCAGTCACTTCTGCAGAGAGGAAGGTGCTTGTTGACTGCTGATAATACTGGCGGCACATTTGTCTGAGTTTGCTAATAACTGGAAGATTCTTGGCAGACATACAAAGCAAACTGTGCGGAGCTGATAAAGCAATACAATGCCAGCTGCCAGCAAGCTGTTCTGCACAGCAAAGGCTGAGGGCTCAGCCACTGGTCACAGCAATGCGCAGCCCCTCCACACAGGTCATCCACCCTGCCTGGGGCCAGGCCTGCCACCCACCCCCAAACCAGACCAGTAAGTGATAGGCTGCTGCGTTGGCCTCTGGTGAGGGCCCATTTGGGCAAGAGATGCTAAACACCGCCTGGAACAAGGACAGCCCTGCCCATTGCCTCACCTTGGTGTGGTGAGCCCAGGTTCTGGCCATTCCCATGCTTGTCACAGTAAGTACGAAAAGAGGAGTTCAGCTCAGACACCATTGACCCTCCTGTAGGCTCTTCTAAAGCCTCTACCCTGCACCTGCTCGCAATCATTTACCTCCTGCGAGAGTTTTTAGTGTGCATGTGATTGCCACACACAGGTTGTATCTTGTTCTCACCACAGAACATCCCCTCCTTAATAGCAACGGGTTGTGTCTGCTATTAGTGAGTCAAATGTGGGGGCAGGGGAGGTAAGCAAGTCACCCATGGCCTTCTCCATCAGTTTCTGGTGCAGCTGAAATGAGAAATGAAGTGATCGCATAGGCGCCAGTGGTAAGCTCTTTTTTACTTTTCTTCTTCTTTAATTTTTAAAAACACTTCAATATTTTAATGTCCTGACCAGCAGCAGTACAAACACTAAAAGCAAGTTTTTTTTTTTTTTTGCCCAGAAAAACAAAAACAGAACAAACAAAACCCCCAAACAGGAAAAAACAAACAAAAATCCCCCAAACCACATATTAAAAATGGCAGGCTTTTTATAACAATAATTAAAGTAATAAAAACATACAAAACTTTTTGTTTTTTTAATATATATACACAGTACAAGGCTGAAGCACCTTT